CTCCCGTGCACAGCACGTTTCCGGGGCTAGCATAGATGAACACACTTCCATCTCGCCCATGCCTGTCTTTCCCAGACCGTGGACGGCGGCCACCGTGACATCCGTTGAGGACTCTCCGGACGCGGCGTGCCGCTCTTCACTCGACCACCAACACCCACGCCTCGCAAGACCAATGGATACGTACCGACAGCAAACCTCCGACCGGGACCTTGGACGCAGCGGCATCCGTCGCTCCTCGCGTAAGTCACGTCCACACGATGTTCTGGGTAGACCGTCGCTGACACTGTTCCCGGCCCAGACTCGCTACCTAGACTGTCCTGGTACGCTGTGCATGCAGATCGCGGCTGTCTGACCACTGAGTACTGATACGCACCAGGACGACTCGCACACGCGGACAGCAAGCCCATCCGACCTGGACACCGTTCCATCCACCGCTCTTCCGTAAGTCCACTCGAACGCCTCGCCCGTTGCCCGTCGCTCACATGCCTCCCCGCGCAGACCGCGTTCATTTGCCTCGCAAGCAGGTAAGCCCACGCCCGCCGGTCTCGCACCCACCTCCTCACCTCACATCGTGGCCAGGCCGCCCGGACGGACCAAGACCGAGGAGAACGGGTTCGGAGGGTTGCCTTTGATGGGTGGATGTAATAGGGTAGAGGAAATGGCATTGAGGCAAGCGTCGGAAGGACCGATGACAGCGACCGTGAGTGATGGGACGCGGCGCACCTGGGGAGGTCGCGAACGCACTTTAGATTGCTGAGACGGCATGCATGATGAGCGGCGCATGACCGGTATGAGCGTGCGCGAGATGCAGTGAAGAGGCTCGGTCCTGTGAGAGAGCGACATGGCTCACCCGAGTCGGTATGAGTGTCTCGCCGGCACGTAATGGAGGTCAGTCCACGCGCGATAGCCAGCAAGGCGAGAAATGAGCGCCGCAAAAGATGCGTGCTCCAGCGCGCACCACCGCCATCGCTCGGCGTGTCTTGGAGGCATGCAACTGGCCCCCGATGTGGTATGCGGACGCGCGAGGGGTTCATCGCAGTGAGGACGGATAGGGAGGCATTCGCAAGTGCCCAGCAGGACCATGCGGCGTGACGGTCTCGGACTGTGCTCACGTCCTCAATTCACATCATCGCCTATACGCTGAAGGCCGTCCGGCGAATGGAGGAGTATATTGAATTGAAAATGAGTAGTACAGGGAGGGGATATGGGAATAGAAACAATAAATGGCGAGATATCATACCTGAGAAGTGCCCATATCGCCTGCGAGTCATGCGTCCCGTCCATCGCCGCCTCGTCCAACAGCGTTGCCCATGAAGCAGCTGGCAAGGCGCGCCGCCGCACCGTTAGCATCGCGACACCAGCTCCTTGAGCTCCGCCATCTCCAGCTCGACGACGGTCGTGTTCTTGCCGTGCCATGTTCGCACCACCCTCGCCTTTGGCTGATTGTCTCGAGGTCCTGTAGCGCTGTCTCGAGCGCCGACATTCCGACATCCCAGTGGCGTGTACGTCGTCCTCAATAGATGCATAGGAGGCATTCTCGTTCAGTGGCATGCGCCGTTCCTGCTGCGTGTGGACAACATCGGGAATGGGAGAGGATCCTAAGAGGGCGTGGAGGCGAAGAAGATCATGGATGCGGGAGGCCTCGTGAGCGATGACATCATGGTCGGCATGATCAAAGACCGTGTAAGAACGGGTGCGTACTTCACTGAATGTATGTTGCCTATCGATTCTACCAAGCCTTGCGCATCGTGGCTTGTTGCTGGCCAGATGATTGACATGTTTGATTGTTTCATGTCGCTCCGCCGGTGGCGTCTTTGGCTACTGAGTACTGAATATATTCGAGGTCTGGCAAGAGGAGTCGCTTTCCCAGGCGTTTGGCAAGGTCGAAGAAGATTTGCAGCCACGATCTCAGTCATGCTCCGCATATGTTCACTTCCATCTGAATCTTTGATCAACCGTGATAAGGGGCATCTTGGGCGCTGCATGCGGCCCATG